CATCAGTCTTCCAAGAATGCCCCCCACGCACGCCCTCCCCCAGGCCTGTCCACAGGGGCTTGGGATCAGCCAGAAAAGTCAGGGACTTCTGTGAGACTGGGAGCGAGGGAGGCGTGTTCTCCCTGCCAGGCTGGGTCCAGTCCCGCGGAGCAGCGCGGTACTGTGGCCCACCCCTTGCACGGTGTCCCATCCATAGCTCCGGACTTTGACCTTGCACTCCTGTCCTCCCTGGCAGGCAGGCAGACAACCCAGAATCCTGCAGGAAATAGAACCTGCACCCCCAGGCGCTGCCTCGTTTCTCCAGAAGTCTGTGGCACGTGGGGTGAGTGACAGGTGCACCTTTGAGCTGGGGGTTGGGCAGGGGGCGGAGGGATATAATGTCCCAGTGTCAACAGGCCAGACTCAACAGCAGCGCCTGAGGCAGGCGACGGAGGAAAGAAGGACAGAGCACTTTGGGCCAACATCTCCCAGAGGTGAAGCTCGAGCCTTGGAGTTGGGCTGGGATTGCAGGTAAGGAGAATCCCCTCCCGAGCTTCGGTTTCCTCATCCGGAACACAGGGGCCTTACTCACCTCTATCTAGCAGGGCGGATCTGAACATTAGAGGAGGTGACTATAAAATGCTCAGGGTAGAATCAGGCACTTAGCAAGTACTCAATTAACGATCCTTATTATTATTATTATCTTTGGGAGGGGGGAGTGGGTAGGCTGGTTCCATTTTGTGGTGGTCATTGCTGGGGTTTTTTTTGTTTGTTTGTTTGTTTGTTTTTGGTACCAGGGATTGAACCTGAGTCTAGGGCAGTTAACCCCTGAGCCACATCCCCAGCCCTTTTTTTTTTTAAATATATTTTATCTTGAGAAGGAGTCTTGCTAAATCACTCAGGGCCTCGTTACTTTGCTCAGGCTGGCTTTGAATTTGTGATCTTCCTGCCACAGGCTTCTGAGCTGCTGGGATGACAGGCATGCGCCACCGTGTCCGCCTATTTTATTTTTTTAATAGCTTCGTTTCCATTTTAAAGATAAACTCTGAAAATATCAACCTCATAAGACATAGCCACGTGATCAACCTGGAAGAGCCGACTTGTGCTCACTGGCATACCTCACCTGTGACTCTGATTTTCATAGGACCAATCTTTCATGTTCATGAGCATGTAGCCATCAAAGGCAGAAGCTGCCTCAGAGGGCTTTCTAGGACAGGAGGGAGGTCTTCTGCAAACAAAGCCGAGACTGACAGGCAAGCAGAAAGTGTCAAGTGCCAGCTGCCTAAATATTTCTATGACACAGGCAGAAAGCCCAGCTAGACCTGGGTCATATCTGAATGCATTTCACGCAGGCGGTGTGACCTTGGGTGAATGTCTTCCCCTCTCTGAATCTCTGTCCCTCCTGTAGAATAAAGATAATACTAAGCCACGCCCCCAGTCCTTTTTATATATATATATTTTTTAGAATCTGGGTCTCACTAAGTTGCTCAGGGCCTCGCTAAGTTGCTGAGGCTGGCTTTGAACTCGAAATCCTCCCGCCTCAGCCTCCCCAGCTGCTGGGATCACAGGTGTGCACCACAAGCCCGACCCACCTCTTGGAGTTGTCCAGAGGATTAAGGGGCTTGGGTATGCACTGTGTCTTCATGTGTCTGGCAAGAAGTAGAATCCAAATTATGTTGGTTCTCCTATGGGTCTGTCCTTGCACAGGCATTATAATCAAGTGCACATGCACACATGTACACACACACACACACACACACACAAAAATAACTCCAGCTGCTTCACTTTCCTGGTTGAAGGAATTGGCATAAAATAGGGGAGAAATTCAACACTGTCAAAAAAGCACCAGCAAAACAGCAAGAAATGGTTGACTTCATATCCGATCTCTGCACCAAGTCCAGAAGTTCATTTCCTGGGGTTTCACCTGAGGCTAGGTCTGTCGGATCCTGTAGTCTGGGTCCCAAGTCTCTTGAGAATCTCAGGCATTTCTATTCACCCTCCACGCTTGAGGCTGCTATCATCTGGTTCAAACTGGACTCATGGTGTGCATTGCTTCCTAAAGACAATTACCTTGGGACTGTTTTGTCTTTGATTCTCACCGACACACTACAAACCCCATAATGTTGCACTTGAGGGTTTTGCAGATGCAGGACTCTGAAACATGAGCTGTTTCTCCTGGTCTGCTCCAACTTGCGATTTTCTGAATGGCCGGACTTGCCAGCCCTGCAGCAGCAGCCTGTTACAGTGTACAAAGACAGGAGTCAGGCTGGCCTGGCTTGTCACCAACGGGGTGTCTCAGGCCATGAGCTCGCTTGTCTGAATGTGTCACAAGGACCATACTAGATAAGGCACTTCAGATTCTTAGCACAAGCCAGGTGCCATCCCAGAGGCTCTGGAGGCTGAGGCAGGAGGATCGAAGTTCAAGGGCAGCCTCAGCAGCTTAGCAAGACACTAAGCAACTTTGTGAGACCCTGTCTCTAAATAAAAAAGGGCTGGGGGTGGGGCTCAGTGGTTAAGTGCCCCTGGGTTCAATCCCCTGTACCAGAAAATAGAAAAAATATATATATATATTTTAAGGATGCAGGGAACCAAAAACAGTAGCTAGGCCTCCATTTCCCCAGCTGCACAAGCTCGATGAGCTCATCTTTAAATTTCTGCACTGGAGAAACCACCCTGCGCTGTGTTTGACCCTCTTGACCCTGGGCCTGTTCTTCCAGAAGGTTCTGGAAGCTGCCCGTGGTATTGCCCCTGATCCCGGTGTTGCTCTGGGTCCTCTCTCCTGCTCTTCTCTTTTCCTTACTTCAGTCCAAAGTCTCTTCATTTCCCGGGAGCCTCCAAAGCCTCCTCTAGCACCTCCCTTCCCCCCCCACACGTTCCTATTTTATAAACAGCCCCTTTTTTCTCAGCCCTTTGCTGATTTCCTAGGCAGAGGGAGATGGAGAAAGGGCAGCTCTAGAGAGAGCAGACCTAGGATCCCAGCCCAGCTCACCCAGGGCTCCCTGGACTCTGCTGCCTTTAGCACCGCAGGTGTGCATCCTGGGAACACCTGAGTCCTGGGCAAACCCAAAAGGTTGCTCACTCTCACCCGTCAGGTGACTTGCCCAAGATCCGATAGCGGGTGTGTGCCAGGGCGGGGCTGCAAACCTGGAGGTGTCTGACCATGGCTCTGAGTTGTTACGGCCTCCTCCCCTCCTCCCAACCTCAGATTTATCACAGGGAATTTGGAAATTGAAAGAAAGTTCCTTTACTCCTGAGCCTTTTTGTTATTAATGTACAAAAGCGGTCAGCTCTCCAGCGATTACGGAGGAACGGTCAGAAGGCCCAGAAAGGGGGAGGAACTTGGCAAAGGTAACTCAGCAGGCGACACCGCAGGTGACACCGCAGGCTGGAAGTGAAGCCAAGTCTGATGCCTCTTTCTTCCTCTGGCCTCCTCTATGGCCAATGTTTTCTTTCCTCTGTGGTTGTCACAGGGTTAGGGGACAGAGAGCGCCTGCTCTGTGTGAGGGCCTCCTCTGTGTGTTAGGCACCATACCTAGAACTTCTGCAGAGGTTCCCATTTAACCCTCAGCACAACCCGGGAGATTGGGGTCACCCTTATTTCGCAGATGAGGTCAGCCGTGTCTGAGGAAAAGAGGGTGCAGGGGAGACACAGCCACCGTGATAAGGTCTGTCCCCCCACCCCACCAGCGCCTGTATCCAAGCTCAGACTCCAAGCTGGAGGGAGAACGGTCTAGAATGACTCCTCTCTGTTTGTTGATTCTATCTCCAATTTGGCTTCTGAAAGCCCGCAGGAGTCCAGTTCTTGCGGGTTGGAGTCATTTCCCCTCTTTTACAAAACTAGGCCATATTGGGAACGTCCTGCTATTCAGGGCCACAGGCTGAGCGGCCAGAGCCAAGGACCCCAGGAGGCCGCTTGGGAAGACAGAGAGGGAGAGTGGACTTTGGCCCTCCTGAACACAAACAGTCCTCTTGTTCTGCCTCAGCAGAAGCTGACAGAGCAGTTCAAGGTCAAAAGCTAAACTTCAGCGGGGCCAGCCGGCCAAGCACCGGGAGTCAGGCTGAGTCTCAGGCCAGTCCCACCCTGGACTGATGGACTCAGAGCCGCGCATGCGCACAGCCAGTGTTCACTCGGGTGGGACTCCAATCCCAGCAACACCACTCCTTGGCTGTGTGACTCCAGGTGAGTCACTTCCTCCTCCTGTGCCTCAGTTTCCTCATCTGTAAAATGGGACTAAATAGCAACAGCGGCCATCTCAGGAGACTGTTGGGAAGCTCAGGTGACACGGTGCACGTGAAACCCTCAGCGCTGGGGCTGGTGCGTGGCAGGTGCTTCACGAAGGTCACTAAATCACTTCTGCGCTGGGCACCAAAGTCTCATCTGAGGTACGGATGACTGAAACTTGAAGCCCACGGAGCATCTTGCCTGGGGTCAAAGGCAGGTAGGTGGCAGAGCTGAGGCCGAAGACTTGAAGCCAGACCCCACTGCGCTAACCTCTAGGCCACCCAGGACACTGTCATCCAGGGGCTCTGCCAGGCCCTTTGTATTCCCAGCCAAGGGATGGGACACCTGGCAGGCTTCCCAGAGAAAGCCCCACCACTTTCCGGCTTTTTGACCTCGGGCAGAGGCCCTTCCCCTCCATGCCTCAGTGTTTCCACGTGAAAAATGTGAAAATTGATCATCCTGCATCTTTGGGTCTTGATTACTGAGGATATTAGGGCTTGGCAGGCCTGACACGGGTGGCGCATGCCTGTAACTCCAGGGACTCAGGAGGCTGAGGCAGGAGGATTGTGAGTTTGAGGCCAGCCTCAGCAAGTAAGCAAGACTCTGTCTCAAAATAATATAATAAATAAATCAAAAGGACTGGGGCTCAGTGGTGACGTGCCCCTGGGTTCAATCCCCAGCACCAGACAAACGAAAGGGCTTGGTGGCGCCTGGTGCCTTCCGAGCCTTCAGGAGACTGCGATTGCAGTGATAGTGGCGGAGATGGTGAGCCTCACCCTTCCTTCTCGCAGGCGGCACGATGCGCGTGGTGGTGGTCGGCGCCGGGGTCATCGGACTCTCCACCGCCCTCTGCATCCACCAGCGCTACCACTCGGACCTGCAGCCGCTGGACATGAAGGTCTACGCGGACCGCTTCACCCCGCACACCACCACCGACGTGGCTGCCGGGCTCATCCAGCCCTACGTCTCCCCGCCCGACGACCCCCGGGAAATGTGAGTGAGGATCCCAGAGGGTAGTCTGGGGGGCCACGGGGGTGAGTCTGCAGAGAGGACACTCCCTGTCAGGGTGCCCATCACCGAGAGTAAGTACCTTTGGAAGCTCTGATCCGGCATGACATAAAGAAAATACCTATGAACTGGGCAAACCACGTATTCTGAGGCAAAAGACAGAGGATAGTTGAATCAAGGGGTTTGAGACCAGCCTGGGAAATATAATGAGACCCTCTGTCTTGTGCTCAAAAAAAGAAAGAAAGAGCCAGGTGCTGTAGTGCTTGCCTGTAATCCCAGCATCTTGGGAGGCTGAGATAGGAGGATCACAAGTTGCAGGCCAGCCTCAGCAACTTAGTGAGGCCCTGTCTCAAAATTAAAACTAAAAAGAGCTGGGGATGTGGCTCAGTGGTTAAGTGCTCCTGGGTTCAATCTCAGGTTAAAAAAAAAAAAAAAAAAAGGAAAAGAAAAGGAAAGGAAATACTCAAGGATATTCCCTCTACTCTAAACCACATACTGTGTGCTAGGAGGTTTGTCTCCATTCTTACCATATGCATTGACGAATCCAGAAAATTTCTGAGCAGGTGGATCAATGCAAAGGTCATAACTGGGCACTGTGGCACACGGTGGTAATCCCGGTAACTCGGTAGGCTGAGGCAGGAGGATCACAGGTATCGAGGCCAGCCTTGGTAACTTAGTGAGGCCTTAAGCAACTTAGCAAGAACCTGTCTCAAAATAAAAAAGAGATGTGGTTCAATAGTACAGTGCTCTGGGTTCAATCTCTAACACAGAAGAAGGAGAAGGAGGAGTTACAAAGGTCATTACATCTGTTTAGAAAGTACCATCTATGGGCTGGGGAAGTGGCTCAGTTGGTAGAGTGTTTGCCTCACATGCACAAGGCCCTGGGCTCAATCCACAGCACCAGAAAACAAAAAACTAACACCTGCTTCAACAAGTGGATGACCCCTCCCTCTGCAGTAAATAATGTTTCAAACAAACCAATAAAATATTCTCTTGTAGATTCCAAAACCAGTGTTCCTGGTCAGTGGGCAGCAATTCAAGAGCTCCCTCCCTCTCATGGCTTTGTCATCCACTGACATGGCCCTTCTAAGGGCTTCTAAGGTCACTGCCAAGGTGACCTCCAATGTTACCATTCTCATGGGCCAGTGTTGTGCAGAATCTCCAGCCAACACACAATCACATGGCCCCAGTACACGCAAGTGAATCTAGAAGCTGTAGTGGATTTTTAGAATTTACTTTTTATTCTAACTTGTTCTATATGACAGCAGAATGCATTACATTTCATATCGTACATATAGAGGACAATTTTTCATATCTCTGCTTATATACAAAGTATATTCACACCATTTGTGTCCTCATACATGTACTTAGGGTAATGATGTCCATCTCATTCCACCATCTTTTTTACCCCCATGCCCCCTCCCACCCCTCTGCCCTATCTAGAGTTCGTCTATTCCTCCCATGCTCCGCCTCCCTACCCCACTATGAATCAGCCTCCTTATATCAGAGAAGATGTTCGGCATTTGGGTTTTTTGGGGATTGGCTAACTCCACTTAGCATGATAGTCTCCAGCTTCATCCATTTACCTGAAAATGCCATAATTTCATTCTTCTTTAAGGCTGAGTAATATTCCATGGTATATAAATGCCACAGTTTCTTTGTCCATTCATCCACTGAAGGGCATTTAGGTTGGCTCCACAGTCTAGCTATTGTGAATTGTGCTGCTATAAACATGGATGTGGCTGTGTCTCTGTAGTGTGCTGTTTTTAAGTCCTTTGGGTAGAGTAGAAGTGTAGTTGGGCTGTGTGCACAGGGTGTGGAGAGAAGGCACGTGGGGATAGCAAGCTGATGTAGGGTTCACAATGGGCGGGGTCTCGTGGCCAGTCTGTATCATCGTCCCCCCCAAACCAGGTCAGAGCCTCCTTCATCGGAAATCATCAGCTCTGTGAGCCCCAGGCAGAGATGCCCATCCCCTTCCTGCCTGTTCTCTGTCCCTTAATGGAGTGGAGGCTCAGCCTGTCTTCCCAGCAGCTCTGGAGGCTGAGGCAGGAGGATTGCAAGTTCAAAGCCAGACTCTAACTTGGCAAGTCCCTGAGCAACTTAGTGAGACCTTGTCTTAAAATAAAACAGAAAGGGCTGGGGATGTGGCTCAGTGGTTAAGCGCCCCTGGGTTTAATCCCTGGTACTAAAAAAAGAGAGAGAGACTCCATCCCATTAGTTGGGGAAATATCAGAAGAAGTGAAGGCATTTGGAGCAGCGCAGGCTTGCACCTAGTAGGTGTCTGGATTTTGGATGCCACTCCACCACCTCATCATACCCCCAGCTGACCTCTGAGAATTATTGCCCAGCTCAGGACATCAGGTGACACTCCTCTGGGTGACCCTTGCAGGGACTGGAACCAGCAGACCTTTGACTACCTACTGAGTCAAATCCATTCTCCCAGTGCTGACAAAATGGGCCTGGCCTTAATCTCGGGCTACAACCTCTTCCGTGAAGCTGTTCCGGTGAGTGAGGAGTCCTAACTACAGATTCCAGGAGGCCGAGTCAAGGCAGCAGAGTCTTGGGTTCAAGCTGGGTCCCCTTTATTTTAATTCATAATCAAAAAAATTTTGGGAGAGGTCTGGCTCTGCTGCCCAGGCTGGCCTCAAATTCCTGGGCTCAAGTGATTTTCCTGCCTCAGCCTCCCAGGTAGCACGAACCCCAGGCATGTGCCACTGTGCCTGTCTAAAAATGCTTTTTAAAAAGCACAAACAGAATCTAACAGGCTTCAAGGGCACATGCCTATCATTCCAGCTACTCAGGAGGCTGAGGCAGGAGGATGGTTGAGTCCAGGAGTTTGGGGCCAGCCTGGCACAGAAAGAATGTAAGAAAGGAAGAAGGGAGGGAGGAAATACATATGTATGTGTACATGTGTGTGTGTATATAATGTATATGTACATGTAAAACTTTTGTTCCAAATTTTGTTATTAAATTGGCAGATACCCAAATCTCTGATGAACGGGTGGATCTAGCCTTTGATTGGTATGGGCAAAATTTACATATTCCAAAGTCATGATGTCGTGTGTCCCCTGAAGTCTGGGGTCTTTACGATGTGATAGCAAAATCGGTGCCAGGCCCTGTCCTAACTCTTTGACAACCAGTGGCTCCTTTAATTTTTATAATAACAGGGAGTCATCTGCAGAGAAGAGAACTGAGGCTCAGAGAAATGGAGTGGTTCACCCGGAGCCACAGAGCTTTTGAGAGAGAGAGTGCTGGGGTTTGAATCCAGGTGGTCTGTGACCTCGGGATGCCCACAGAGGGACAGCAAGGCCGTTCAGGATGGGCTCGGGCTGTTTGGAGAGGGTGGGGTGGGGCAGGCCCAGCCCTGGGTGCTTAGCTGCCTCATTACTCATTCTCCAACTCTGTGCTAGGATCATTCCCTCCTTATCTCTGGTGCTAGGATTATTGGCCTTGCGCTATCTCTTTCCTGTCATGGGGCCAAGAGAAACGATTGTCCCAAACCAGAAAACGGAGTCTCCAGTCATTCGAGAGATAAGGTGGCAAATCTGGGGTTTCCACCCAGGAGGCCTGGTCCCATGTGCCCTCTGCCTTCTACTCTCACCCTCTGTGACTGTCTCTGGTGCCCCTGTTTCTGCCCCATTTATGACCTCTCCTCTATCACTCACCTCCAGCCTCACCCTTACCCTTTGTAGAGTGGTTAAGAACCTGACTGTGGGCTCTGGATAACGGCTTGGTAGGTAGAGCGCCTGCCTCAAATGCACAAAGCCCTGGGTTCAGTCCCCAGCACCACACACACCAAAAACAAAACAATATCAACAACAACAACAAACAGAACAATTTCCAGGTGCGGTGGCACACACCTGTCATCCCAGAGGCCCAGGAGGCTGAGGCAGAAGGATTGCGCATTCAAAGCCGGCCACAGCAACTTAGTGAGGCCCTGAGCAACTCAGCGAGACTCTGTCTCTAAATCAAATACAAAATACAAATACAAAAATACAAAAAAATAGGGCTGGGGATGTGGCTCCGTGGTCAAGTGGTCAAGTGCCCCTGAGTTCCATCCCTGGTACCCGCCCCCCCCCAAAAGCAAGAACCTGAACTCCAGAGTCAAATTGTGTGGGCTGAGGTCTCAGCTTCACCACTTACTACCTGTGTGAGCCTGGAGGAGCTCTGAGCCTCCATCCGTCCCTCTGTGGGATAAGAAGAGCATCCAGCTTTTCCACGGCTGTGACTAAAGGACCCAACCAGAGTAATGGCAGAGCAGGAAAGTTGACTTGGGGGGACTTACGGGTTCAGAGGTCTCGGTAGACAGCAGGCTGCATTCCTCTGGGCTCGAGGTGTGGCAGGACATCATGGCCGAGGGAGCAACGCAGGTGACGATCAGGAAGCAGAGAGAGATGGATTCCACTCTCCAGATACAATATATATTCCCCATAGCCACGCCCCCAGTGAATCACTGCCCCCAGCCACGCCCCACCTGCCACGGGCCACCACTGAATGACTCCATCAGGGATGACTCACGGTTAGGTCAAGGCTGGGACCCCATCATTTCTCCTCCAAACCTTTGACGTCGTCTCACACCTGAGCTTTGAGAGGACTCCACATCTGGACCGTAACCCCACCTTCGTGGCTGGTTGTAAAGATGAACTGGATCTCTACGCGGGAAACTCGTGGTACCAAGCCTCGCACACAGGGCCGTCTAAGTTTTTGTTATTTCTTTCTTACCGACTGTCACCAATCCTTGTCCCTCTTCTCTCCTGCTCTTAAGGACCCTGTCTGGAAAGACTTAGTTCTGGGATTTCGGAAGCTGACCCCCAGAGAGCTGGACATGTTCCCTGATTATGGGTAAGGGTACCCTCAGGGGCAGAGGGGCCAAGGCACCGGGGAATTCACACAGAACCATCCCGTGGGCAGCAGAGAGAGGCGCCCGGCTTTCTGTGGCCCGTCTTCCCCTGGTCCCTGTGGTGCCCTGGTCTCCTGATGCTCCGTCCAACTCCTTCACAGAGGCCTCGAATCCCACTGCCTCCGGATCCTCTCCTCACCCCACCTTGTGCCTGAATCCCCTCTACCAATGGCACATCCCATCTCCATTTTTATATTCCAACTTCAGGGATGGCTTTTTCTGATAGAAAATAGCTCTTTTCATTGAGCTCAAAATCACTCCCTCCCCCAGCCCCATGAATGTCACCCCGTGATTCTTGGGGACCCACGGAACAATACTGACCCCACCTCCACTGGTCAGCCTTCCAGTCTAACTGGGGTTCTGACTTGCTGTTTCCTTTGGCCGGTGGCGGGGACTCCAGCTATGGCTGGTTCAACACCAGCCTGATCCTGGATGGCAGGACCTACCTCAAGTGGCTGATGGAAAGGTAAGTTCAGACCTCAGGCTGGCGGGCGCCTGCCAGGGACCCTGCTGGGGGACAGCAGTGTCATGGGGTTCCTGCAGGTAGAGACCAATTCCCCAGCTGAAGAAAACCCTTAGGCCAGGTGTGGGCGCTGTCCTTGGTTCTGATCACCACTGTCCTTGAGACCGTGGCTCTGCACCTGGCTGGGCACTGGAAACACCCAGGCCGCTTCTTATAGCATGTATTTATTAACAACTTCATGGAAAGTTCTAGTGCATTCTCCTACGTTTCCCAGGTATATTGACACCATTTTTCTTCTTCTTTTTTTTAATACAGTGAATTTGAGCCCAGAGACACTTTACCACTGAGCTACATTTTCAGTTCCTTCTTTCTTCCTTTTTAAAATTTCAAGACAGGGTCTCCATGAGGGTTTCACTAAATTGCTGACGCTAGCCTTGAACTTGTGATCCTCCTGCCTTAGCCTCTCAAGGCAGGGTTGACATGTGTGTGCCACCATGCATGACTATATTTACAACCTAAGACGCCTTCTCTCTCTCTCTCCGTCTCCCCTCTCACAGCTTTGGTCGGTGTCTCTAGAATGTTAACTAATATGGGTAATAATGGAATAATGGATATCCCTGTTTCTTTCCTGACGTTAATAGCAATCTCATGGTGTTCCAAACTAGCAAACACTCGCTTGAGGAATACATCCACATTTATATTCACATACATTCATATTAAGAAAGATTTCATGTATTCCCTATAGTTTACTATTTTACTGAGTTTTTTTTTTTTTTAATTCTGGAATGAATGGTGACTTGTACCAAATAATTGGGGGAGATTCCTAAAAATATACATTTCAGGATCCTACTTTACACTCATTGAATCAGAAACCCTGGAGTGGGGTTCAGAATTTATTTCACAAATTTCCCTGGGCCGGGGGTGGTGGGGCACACCTGTAATCTCAGCGATCCAGAGGCTGAGGCAAGAAGATTGCAACAACTTAGTGAGGCCCTATCCCAAAATAAAAATTAAAAAGGGTTAAGGATGTATCTCAGTGGTAGAGCATCCCTGGGTCTAATCCCAAGTACCAAAACAGGAAAGATGATTCTAGTTACCAGCCAGGCTTGGGGACTATTGACATGGTCATTTCTCCTAACCTGGGGACACTTATGATCCCCGTCCAGCCTCTTCCAGAAGAAAATGCTTCCAATTTTTCCTTTTTTTTTTTAAGTGATCTGTTGCTACAATGTAGCTCTATGTCTTTATTTTTATTTTATTTTTTTTTTGTGTGGTGCTGAGAATTGAACCCGAGACCTCACTTGTGTGAGGCAAGTCTGTACCACTGAGCCATAATCCCAGCCCCAATTTTTCCTATCTTGAAGGAAATATGCAGATGAAATCATCCCAAGGTTATCCTTCAGCTTAAAGATGATTTACGTCCTATTCTTTGGATATCTTTACTATACTACTGGTAGTGACAGATATTTTTCCTCAGGGACATTTTTGTTGTGTTGTATATTGCTGGGCCTTGAACCCAGGGCCTCACACATGCTAGGCCACCGCTCTGCCACTGAGCCACATCCCAGACCTCCTCTGGGACATTTCAAGGGAGGGGTGAGTGTCCCCAGCCTCCTCCCTCCTTGTGTCCTGCTTTTGTCAAAGGGGCATTTGGCATTGGCCCGACTCTGCCCCTCGTCCACCCCAAATCTCATCCCCCTGATGTTACCAAGCCATGGGGGCCGGCAGAGAGCAAGGGAGGGAGGAGCCTGAGCCCAGCCCCTCACTGCCTGACTCACTATAGAACCTTCAGGAAGACTCCCTTCTCCCTCCGCCATCCACCCAGCCAGGGACTTGGGTCATGTCCAAGACCTTGTTTCCCAGGGGACAGTTCCTGGCCCCCTCGTCCAGCAAGGTGCTGGTGATCTAATTGGCCCACCCTGCCCTATTCTCAAAGAGCATCCGGTGGGACTCGTGTCCTCAGAAATGTTCCCACCCCACCCTCTGGGAGGCCGGGCAGAGAACTGAATTCTAGGTGTTTCTGACCCGTGTGGTCGTCCCAGGCTGACTGAGAGGGGCGTGCAGTTCTTCCTGCGGAAGGTGGCGTCTTTGGAGGAGGTGAGCCATGGGGGGAACGGCTGGGTGTGGGAGGGAAGGGGCCTCTGCTTCCTGCGGCTGGGCTGGGGGCTCCTTGCCGGACTCCCAGAGTCCCCTGAGGCCTGTCCCTGACGCGAGTCCTTCTCTGAACCCCAGGAGGACTCAGGCATTCTGAGATTCCAGGAGGAATCTGCCCAGACATTAGTGGCAGGAATAAAGAACAGTGGAATCCCGGCGGCCATGAGGTTGAGCCTCAGCGAGCTTCAGGGCTAGAGTGGGATCAGCTGCCCTCCCCTTCCAAGTCCAGGCGCTTGGGTGCTTCCTACGACACTGAGGTTGATGTTTCTGAATAGTCCAGGCCCTCAGCTGGGACCCGGATCAAAGGAACAGCACCACCGTGGATGACGGTGGAAGCAGCCGCCATCACCAGGCAATGACTGAGCACCAAGAGTGCTGGGCGACTCCACTCAGCCCTAGCACTCAACGCCTGGCACGTGAAAGGTGCTTAGCACATGCGGCTATCAGTACTGAGCACTAGTACTCAGTACTTGCGTTCTATAGTGAGGACCTACCTGCTCTGGGCTGGGCCCTGATGGACCCTTGGGATCCACGGTCAGGGCTGAGCTGGGGTGCTGGGGCGGTCATTGCACTGTGTGTCCTTGAGTGGACGAGTGGCCCAGACACCCACAGAGCTGGGGTTTCTAGCATCTTTCTGCAAACACCTTGGCGCCATAGAAGACCAGATGGAAAGGAGTCAGAAGGAGAAGGGGGACATCAGCTTCTTTCTGACTTCCTTCAGGGTTCCCAGAGGTCTCCCCACTCCACAGCCCCCGGGGCCCAGCTCCTTTAGACACAGAGCTGCCGGGGATCTCGGCTGCCTGTCATCTGGTGACGCAGGCCCCATTCTGTAATGGGGGCGGCTGTGATAAAGGGACATTTCTGAGGTCACACTGTGGGTAAATGGCAGAAAGGAGATGCTGGGGCACTTCCCTCTGATCCACCCATGGGGACTCCTAGCCACGGTTCCCCAGCTGTGGGGTAGGAGGAGGGAGGAAGGCAGAGACAGGGATGCCAGGGTCCTCATCATCCCCCCACCCTGTTGGTTGCTGCCAGGTGGCAAGAGGAGGCGTGGATGTGATCATCAACTGCACCGGGGTGTGGGCTGGGGCGCTGCAGCCAGACCCTCTGCTGCAGCCAGGCCGGGGACAGGTCATTCGGGTGAGTGTGAGAGTGAGACGCCCAGCTTCCGCTGACGGGATGATTGTTGTGCATGCTTATTTCATCTCCACAGCTAGTGGAAGAGTGGGGAACGTGTGTCAGAGTGACCCAGACTTTGGGGAACTGACATGGTAAAGGAGAAGGGCCATCCTGCCTTGTCTACCCTGAATGCTCTTTTGGGATTTCTCTTTCTTTTCTCCTCCTCCTCCCCCTCCCCCTCCCCCTCCTCCTCCCCC